CTAACAGACCTCCCGTGTAAGGGATTTTTGCCAAACAGACCAGCTCTGCAAGCAGTTTTTTCTCCCACCCAACAGACAAAATCCGCCAAACAGACTCCTTTTGGTTTAAAATTAGTGCTGAAAATTGAAATTTAAAATTTTTTATGTAATTGAATTTGTGTAAAGGACTTTTCGTCTAACAGACTCATCCCTTGCACAAATCAAGTCCGTTAAACGGGGGTTGACTGTATTTTTGAAATATCGCAGTTTTGTTGTATCTGAAACTGGGGTCCGCATCTTATACTATGGGACACAATTTTCACAAATGCTTGATCTGAGAAATGCTGGTGCTGGGTTTCTTAATCCAGGGCGGGTGGTAATAAAGTAAATATAATGCGATATTTGATTATTTATGATACGGGCCTGAACCCGTGGTTAATCATTCACTCCGAAAAAATCAATGAGATTGGTGATTATATTTGCAGTTCGACGCATCATCCGTGTCATACAGATGGAAAGCCTACAACAGAACAACAACGACGCGTTGCAGGTGACCCAGGACCCATTATTCACACCCTGTCAGGACTGATGATAATGAGGAGAGACGGAAGAGATCAGAATCCATCTTGTTTTTTTTTCCTTTCCGTCTTTGCGCGAACATTTAATGTTCATTCAGCACGTACGCATTAATAAATACGATAATCATACTGTATGCGTCAAATCTAGGCACAAGAAATTTTTAAAGACTTCAAAACAAGTTTGTCATACTGAGCAAATTGTTATAGCCAGATTTTTGAATGGACTGGAAAACATTTTCACACAAGACCTGCGCATCATCAAGTGGATCTTGCTTTTCTGCGTGTTATTCTCAGATATTTCAAGAACAGTGCTTTATGCTGAAAACTTTATTGTAATATTATTTTACTGTATGCATGACTACATGTAAGGCGTGTATATACAGTACATATATCAAGTGCTAAAATATGGCATCTTATAAGAACTGTACTGTATGTGAATGAATGAATGAACAGAAAACCTTATTTGCCGCTTTTCACCATTCACAAGGCATAACCAGAACTCCTGAATCCAAACCCCCTCCCCACCCAACCCAACTCCCCCAAATACATTCAATCACTGCAAAGCATGAAACAAAGCACAAACGAATGACAAAAATAAAAGAGAACACAATAAAATTACTGTATGTAATTTAACATTGCTGTACATTCAAAGTCTCTGTAGTGTAGCAAAAATATAGTTTGTGCTTCACTTGACATATACAGTATCCTGGTACAACAGCATCAGCATAAATTTTCATTTCCAAGTTTTGCTTGTCGTTTTTTTGGTGTATAGATGGACATGTGTTGATCACTTTGAATCATATCAGTATATTTATGTATGCCATATTTACTGTAGTACCACATGGACTTTTTACGCCTGAGGCGAGAATTTGACCCACATGGGTGCTGGTGCTATAATCTATCTGGGATTTTTTTTGTAATTGCAATACTAATCACCATGTTTGAACAATGCTGTCCTGGTTTATATTGTGAAAAAAATTGCAGACCTGCAATTGTCCTGATTTGTAGTGTGGCATATATGCAGTATTTTCAATTTTGAATAAAACCACAGAACAGCTGAACTAGGCATTCTTTATGAAGTCGTGAAATCAATTTCATGTTTTCTGTGCAGAATGTACAGCAATGTAAAATTACATACATTGGATGTTGAAATATACTATGTATTGAAACATTATTTTCAAAACAGGAAATGCATTGGACTGCTAGATTCACGGTTCGGATACTGCTCCTGTTTCTTCTGATCATTCTTGATTGACAGCTGTCCAGACTGCAAAAATATAATTTTGCGAATGTCCCTGTATTAGGATATGCTGAGATCTGCTGAATGCATTAGGCATGTGAATCTTTGTGGATAAGCCCATGTGTGAAGATCAGATCAGTACAAATCTCGTTTCGTTGTTGCTGTGAAACTTCGACTGACGAAAATTGTGAACGTACCAAGTTCAAAATTCGTATTGAACAAGTACAGTACAGTATACGGCCCTAGCTTCACGAAGGGGATTCTGAATTTGTTTCTCACACCTTCTTTGCCCGGTTGTCACTACTCGTCATTTTGTTTCTGTATTACACTCTTGATTCTATTGTCTTCTTGAAAATATCCGCCAACAATGGTGTGCACACATCTTTTCAAAAGGTACGCGATGTCGTCTGCAGTGGCATAGCGTACCTCCCGTAGCGGCTAGTGAAACTTCTGAGATTGCTATTATTTATTCAACTGCGACAAATTTCCCGCTTGCTGATGCAAATTCATGTGACGCCCCCTCTTCCTAAGTCCCCTGGTTAAACCAAACAAAAGATATCCTTTAAGACATTGCGAAGAGACCATATGAACCGATATAATGTAAATTATTTTTCAATGAGATTCAAAGTCGCGAAATCCAGACTTGACCCATTCCCGCCATAATTGCGAATAGGAAAGATTATTTATGAAGCTCTGATGCCTGCCGCCATCACTCTCTCATGGGGGAGGAAGGACAAGACTTATTTTTGCTCATGAATTATCACGCCGACAACAATTTTTGATCATGTTCGCTGCTCTCCACGGAATAACTTAGTCTTCCTGATTCACTCAGCAGAAAGCGCTGATTTGGAAACTTTCAAGGTTCCACTACGGGGGGAGAATAATTGATTGTTGCTTATTTGACGTTTTGCAATATTTTTAGCGCTTTTGATGTGATCTATTTATACTATCCGCAGAAGATAGCATAAAAATCAGTGTACTATAGACGCGAGGCTCACAAATTTTGCAAAAAAATACTCACCGATTGCGCTGCATTGAACGGATCAAACACTCGAACTTCGAACAGAGCAGAGGATTATAAAGAAAGATTTGAACCCTATAAGTGACGCATATAGGGTTCAATAAATCGACGCATAGACGGAACAGAATTTTCGGTGAACTCCTCAAACGTGGTTCATTCTTCGTTCGGCCTTTTTTCGGAAGAGCGTGCGTGAGCAATTCACGACAGCAGTCAAGGCCAATTGTGGAGAAAGTTTTTCTGGAATACATTATCACGGCTCCATGATGAAATCCCGAAATCCCATAGGAGAAAAAATCCCGCGGCCCGAAAATCCCTTGAGGCCAAAAATCCCGTAGGCCCAAAAATCTCGCGGGGTCCAAAAATCCTGTAGGTACGAAAATCCCTTATGCTAAAAAATTGTGATACTTTCTAGGAGTTTTCCTTCCAACTGCCTGGGAGGAATGCAAATACTGTATGGTAGATTATGATATGGTTAAAGTGCAAGGGGTTTCCTTCCAAGGATATCCAAGGTTTAGGAATTACGTCTCTCAATAGAACCTCAACTTCACTATTGAAACATATTGAAACATATTGAAACATATATATTGCATATTGAAACAACTACACTTGCATATTGAAATTTAAATTTGAAAAAAATGAAATAGCATTATACAACTGTAATTAGACTTATTTGATGATTTTGAAATTATTTACATATCATCACCATACGTAGAGATCAAGTGACATTTTTCTGATGTTAGAATTCATGTTTTGAAGACAAAGTAGAGCTTAAAATAATTGGAAAAGTTAACAGTTTATAATATACAAAACAAATACAGGGACAAAGTCTTGATCCAAATGAAGGTTAAATTTTTCTCATGTTTCCTTGGGAGGAAGGTGAGGAAGTGAAGTTGATGAGGTTCTATTGAGAGAGGTAATTCCTAAAACTTGGAAAACCATGGAAGAAAACCCCTTGCACTTTCACCATTTCATAATCTACCATACAGTATTTGCATTCCTCCCAGGCAGTTGGAAGAAAAGCTCTGAGAAAATATCACAATCTTTTTAGCATATGGGATTTTTGTACCTACGAGATTTTTGGACCCCGCAAGATTTTTGGGCCCATGGGATTTTTGGCCTCACCGGATTTTCAAGCTGCGGGATATTTTCTCCCACGGGATTTTCTCCTGCACCCATTATCACTATGCCTCAGGAACTTCTTCACAGCAGCAATCCATGTGACCACATATTCACGATAATATACCAAGAGAAACTGAATTGCTTCCCATACAGCAGTTGAAAGTTATCAAGAGAAAATGGAAAGCATCAGCCACGGTAATACTGTATACGGATGCTCCGGATGTCATTACGCGTGACCACGTCCTTCTGAGCCTCTTGGTTCCACAGACACAAGAATTCAGGAAGTTTACCATGAACAGGAATGTGAACAGTTCCTGCTATCCTTCAGATTTCTATTAATTTATGCAAGCTGCATCAACCGCAACGGATGAGAGACGTCAGGCGGCCGTGCGTAACTTTGTCGCCACTCAGCTCATCCATTTAAACTTCTGCGTAACTGTCAGCTGTAGTGCGAAATCCGGGTTGAGGAACTGCGACGTCCATCTTGCGTGCAAAGGTTGCCAGAAATTGTGGGCCGCGTAGGGTTTGAACGAACTCTATGCTTTATTTTGGGAAGTCTCAAGTCTAACAACCCTGGTTCAAGTGATCGTCCTTGGCGAAGTAGGCCTTGAAGTTCTTGGCGATCCTGGTTGGGCAATGAGAGGGGTGGCGGAGTGTGCGGCATCGGGTTACGGCAGTGCCAGGGTTGGAGTAACGTTTTTTTCTGGCTTCAAAGGCCTGACTTGTGTTCCAGTGATGGATACTGTTGAAGGTGGAGAGAACCGAATTTTCGTGGAAGTGAATTCTTTTCTTCACCATCTATCACTCTCAGAGGGACCTCTTTATTTGTTTTTAAATTTTAAATTGGATCCAGTTCAACGCGCGTCAATTGACAAAAAATTCCATGGAGCGTGAGAGTGATTCGAAGATTTTAATTACACATGAGGCATGATGACGTTACAGTACTGAAATACTGTTCCGGAAATCTCTCTGGTTCGGCACATTTTCAAGTGCGGTACAGTACACGTAGTTTGAGTTAATTGTCGCTTGCACAGTATACTGAATAAATCTTGTGGGGTGCCTTTCCAACAGTGCCGCTTTCAATCTGTGTGAATTCTTGACGAGAGAAAATTTATCAGTAGAAACTACGCGAGACCCATTTCTGCACTCCATCCTGGTCTTGTCCAATTCTACCCCCTTCAGCTGATCAGGCCATCATGTTTTTGTGAAGTGCGCATGGATAAGGGTATCCCTGTGTTTGCCTGTCATACGTGTTTGTTTGTATTCAATGTGTGGAGTTGTGTTGGCTCTGTGGATTAGCTGAGAAATGTCTACATTCCTGGGAGGTTTTCAACCTGGTAGCCACTTTGGGTGCAGGAGAAAATCCCCTTGGAGAAAAAATCCCGCGGCCGGCAGATCTGGTGTGGCCAAAAATCCCCTTGGCATAGAATCCTCCCAAGGTCCAACCATCACAAAACTTGAATTTTCTCATCAGGAGTACCTCCTTTGATAACTACCCAGCAAAAAATTTGGGTGTTGGAAGCTGGGGTGCTGGCAACAGCTAGTTAAGCATGTAGTCATTCTCTAGTTTTCAGCAACACCCTGAAAAACCCCCAACTCCCAAAGCTTAGGAGTTAGGATCAAGCTAAATATGAAGTAGTTATCAAATAGTCCACACTTGACTCTGGAAATCATGGAGATGATCTATATTTCAACTAGTGTTCCAGGTAGTTGTTTTCAATTGGGGTGAGTGGGAGTTTTTTGGTTGTTAGCTGCAACTGGCTGATAGCTAGTTCTTTGGGAGCTGCTGCTGTTGGGGGTGACTGCATGTTGCATGGGTGATTTTTGGGTGTTAGCTGCAACTGGCTGATGGCTAGTTCCTTGATAACAAGAAACATGACAAATTAAAAAAAAATAAACAGTGGTGGAGGTTTTCCCTCAGAACAATTTAGGGATTAACATCCCTCCTTAAACACAAAAGAGAACATCATTTCATGCCCAAAGAACACTTAAGAAACAGTAATTACATCAGCTAAAAGTTGATAGCCTTCAAATTTGTTGACTCTGCCATTCTGCTGCTCATTGGCAGCCCAAGTGTCTCATTGGCTACTCATCAGCAGCCCAAATCAACATTAGCTAAAAACTTTAGCAACATTGGCTATAATAAAATTACTTGCCTTCCTGGCCCTTTTTTTAATTTTCAGGCTCTCCCTTCCTTACTGAGCCCTGCCTCCCTCCCACAGAGCCCAGAGAGACCTGCAGGAGGGTCCCATTTCCTGTTTCAAGGCCTTTGAAAATTTGTCAAAAATTCAATTTTGTGTAAATTTTCAAATTTATTCAAATGTTGAAAGTGCACAGATGTTTTATAAATCTCCGTTTTTGAAATTTTATAAAAGCTTGAAAATTGAGTGAGTTACAATCAAAACCACAAAACCATTTTTGAAAACTGCACAAAAAAACAAGAAGAAAGATTTTACTTTTTGAATTTTATCTATTTCAATTATGAAAACATTTCAATAAAAAATATATGTGAAATCATGAAACATCTGTGCGCATTAATCCAGCAAACCTTTTAGAAATTGAATTCAAATTGAAAAAGTTAGAATGAGCTAAACTGAAAAGTTAGAATTCCAGTTTATGCTTTCCTTTTGGCTTTGCTAACTTCCAAAATTTGCAAATAATTAAATTTAGAATGGATTTTTACATTTCTTAAAGTGTTGCAGGCTCACAATTTTTTTTGAATTTAGGTTTTTTATATTTTGAAAAATGTTCAAAATTGGCCAAGTTTCAATCAAAAACACAAAACTGTTTTTAAAAAATGGATAAAATGGGAAAAAAATACTTTTACATCTTAAATATTTACATTTCACCTTTTAAACTTTGCTCATTGGAAAAAATATTTCGATTAGAAAACGATCCATGCGCATGTACCCCTGAAAATAATTGAAATTCCACCAATAAAATAAAAGTTATCATGAGCTAAACTGAAAAAAAACAGAATTTTGTGAAAATTCCGTTTCCTATTTTGCTAACTTTAAAATTTAGTAAAAAGTTAAATTCTTGATCAAACTTATTTTTTGAACCTTTATAAAGAGCACCAAGCTGTTTGCTACATTTTCTTCCTTTTTTAATTTTGAAAAAGTGGAAAATTGACTGAATTAAAATGAAAAATGCAAAATCATTTTTTTAAGTTGTATGAAAATTGGGAAAAAGATTTTCTATTTTAAATTTCAGCTTAGTCAATTTTCAACTTTTTCAGATAAAATTTGTAAAATTTTAAAACATCTGTGCACAAGCAATTCTGGATTTTATTCAATTTTGACTCAATTTTCAAAATTCTTCAAATGTTGCAGGCGCATGGATGTTTCCTAAATCCCAATTGTTCAAATTTTGAAGAAAAAAACGCCAAAATTGAGTGAGATACACTGAAAGAGGCGAAATATTTTTTCAAAATTGTACAAAAATTGGAAAAATGCTTTTAGTGTTTGAATTTAAACTCATTCCATTACAAATATGTTTCAACAAAAAATGTATGTTAGATCATAGAACATCTATGTGCATACAATCCTGTAAAAAAATTCACTTGTGGATGTCATTGCTGCTCTTAAGTGGTGATCATACATCCAAATTTCTTCTTGAATGATGAAGGAAATAACAATTCCAAAAATATTTCAGGCAATTCATATTTATCATTGCAATAAATCTCTTTCAAATCTTTTTTCCTTCAAACCTCTCTCAAGAAACAAACCAGTAGTCTTCTAGCAATTTGCCAAGATACTGACATGTTAGCAATGGGCACATCAGAAAAGCAATGTCTTCCTTGATGATCTTGTTGTGTAGAGAATAGTCCTCCCAACAACTTTTTCAGAGTGTCAAATGACCACAGCTGGAAAGTGCTATTGCTGGTGATCCACATAGTTTAAGGCATTCACCTGATGAGAATAAAATAAGATTTTTATTCCTCAGTTTCACAAGTTTATTGTGCCTAATAAAAAACAGATCTAAACTAATCACTCAATATTTTCATTTTGTTTTTCATCATGAAAGATCTTTGATGCACTTACCCACTGTAGACTTGCTTGCCAGTAGTGTTCTTTCTAAGGTGCTTTATTTCTGTCTTCTGTTCATTGTTCTCTTCCAGTAGGTGTTGCATTCCTGAAAAGAAAATCCTGATGATTCTGTTGTGATTTTTCATAGATTCCATGTGGATCTCACTTTTTAATCCAGTCTGCTTTAGATGATAAGTGAGTTGCATTGATGTTAAAGGCTCTTTCACTTTTGCATGATCTGTCCAACTGATGTCCCTTTCTATAGGCATCTGAAAAAAAGTAATATTCACAGCCACACTGTTTGAATATGTGCTTGGATTAAACATACCATTTCATTTGCATGATGCAAATTGTCACTTTTGTTTTTCACTGTGTTGAGGAACACCAATAATCCAAACTTGTACGGCAGCTTTTCTTTTCTTGGGTTCATTTCATACTTCTCTTTCACTTGTTGGGATGTCCTTTGGTGACCATGGATGAACCTGAAAAATATGTATACAGCTNTTTGGAAGTTTTGTGCACAAATTTATCCATTAAATGATACAAAAAACACCTAAATCATCTTTGGAATGACGATGATGTGCTGCACTCCTCAAATGCTTGGCTTGAAGCAAGCTTACTCTGTTGATGCAAAATTTCAGAAATTCTGGATTCAGCAAATTATTTACACATCATTGAATTATGATTAAATTCATACATTTGTTAGGGCTTGACATTGGAAAAATTTCAGAAAAAGTCTCAAGATGATTAAATTCATAAATTTGTTAGGGCTTGACATTGGCATAATTTCAGAAAGAGTCTGGAAATTGCCTTTGAATTTTCAGCAGTTAATAAATTGAAGAGTTAATCATTGATAAGCATCATTTCATTTGTTTCCATTTTGTGTTATCAACAGGTTTTTGTCTTTTGAAACCTGCATGGAAAGCTGGAAACACCTATTTTACAATTTATACCAATTTACAAAATCAGTCTTAGGAATAATCTATCCAAGCCATTTTGTTGATAACCTGAAAACTTGAAAATTACAAACTCGCAAGAGGCAAGGCCTATGAAGTGTAAACCACAGTGGGATTATCAGCCTCACGGAATTTTAAGGGATTTTTTCCATGCAACTCCATCATGGAGCCCAGCATTCATGGGATATCTACCCTCCAATATATATTGAATGATACCTCAATCTTCAAAATTCAAGTAATGAAACGCATGTAGTGTCAGAAGTACAGTGGACCCCTGATAATATTCCGCCAAGTAAACCCAGCACCACCATCACAAATGCCAATTTATTCTTAGAAACAAATCTTCCCAATTTACTGGAAACCTAGTGAAGGCATCAACTGCCAAAATCAGTGAGACATTAAAAAAATGCATGTGCCAAATTTTTTTTATTTGTACATCACCAACAAGGTTAAAGTTGTGATTAGTTTATGTTGCAACGATCATGGTTGTTGGGCTTAGTACATCTTTGTATTCATGTATGTATCCCTTATTATTCCAGGTATTCACCTTTTTTTTCAATGGCAAGTTCAACAGTCACTGATTCTACAGGCAATCATGTGCAGTTTTTTTAAGTCACACCCATCTCTGGGGTGACAAAGAGTTCAAAACTTTACCACTGCACCAAGGATCAGACATTTATTACATCAAAACAGGAGGAATACTATGGGAGGGCAACAAGAATGCCACTGAGTTGTGTCCTACCATTTCTGTGAGGTGCTATAACAAGCAGTGTGCAGGAAGAGCAAGAATTCATCTAAAAAAATGCTTGCAAGAGGAACAAAAACACACAATGAAATGTGTGCCATACACAGTGCAGTGGTAAAGAATAAACTGCAAGCATAATCTCAGGCTACATATTTTATTAAAGTAAATCCTTTTCTGTCATCTCAAGAGGTGTGCGCCCATGTAACAGAAAGGCAAGTATTATTGTGTAACTTAAAATTAGCTCATATGCATTTAAAAGGTTTATAAAGTTCTTTTTTTTATTTTGCAATACATTTCATTGCAGCACTCCAAGATGCGTCTTGAATAAAAGTTTCAAGGACCAAGTTCAACGTGACCTAAAGGAAAATTGCCCATCCAATCCAAAAACTGCCGAGGAGTTCATCAACCTGTGCCAGAAAGATGACTTCCCTTTCAAGTTCATTGAAGAACTTGATCCAAGAACCAAAATCATCAGGCAACACAAGTTCTTTGTTAAGAACATTGACAGTGAACATGGTGGAGTGTCCTCAATTTATATTGCAGAAATGTTCAAGGGGTTACTTCAAAATCCCAACATTATGTTGCATATGGATGCAACATATCATGTAACCCCCAACCCATTTCAACAATTGTTCATCATCCACATCAGGTTGGGCAATGACGTGAGATTAATTTCCTTTTTACTGCATGAAGAACATAAACTGTTATGAATCCAAATCTTTTCATTAATGAAAAATCAAATTTTTTTTTGCAAACAGGTGTCTCCATTCATGTATGCATACATGACAAGGAAAACTATCTCAGCATACAAGGTAGTCATGGAAACACTCAAGGAGGTGAGTGAGTTGGATCTTCATGACATCTCAATCATGACTGACTGGGAATCATCTTTGCGTGAAGCAATGTGGATGTATTTCCCACAGTCAAAATACAAGGCTGTTGGTTTCACTACTCAAGGGTATGTATGCAATCACTTTGCAGAGTAATTCAGGTTGGAATTCCAAATGAATTGAAAATATTTGAACAGGCACTTCTGACCAAGCTGCAGAAGCTGAACTTGGGTTTCAACAAAATGAAAAAGACAGCAGGAGTATACAACATCTTCAGGATGTGTATATCCCTGTTAATTCTACCACCTGAAACCATGTATGATGGATTTCTGATGATCAGGTGCTGTTACTTCCAGTTGTTCAAAGAAGAGCTACTCACAGATGAAATCAGGGCAAACCTAGAGAATTTTTTTTACCTACATTGAGGTAAATGTCATCTGAAGGGATTTACATATTGTCATCTTCTACGGCTTTTTTTATCAGAGAAAATGGCTGTGTAATGAAAAACGTCCATTGCATGAAATAACATTGGCTAATGTTGATCATCATACAAACAATGTTGCAGAAAGCTTTCATGCTTGGCTGAACAAAGAACACAGACCTCACCCTGGAATATGGAAAAGCTTGGGTAAGGATATCAGTTTGCCACATTTTGACAGCACTTCATTGGTGAGAAAGCTTTCTCTTGTTTCTCCACCAGGCCTCATCAAGAATTTGATCCTGAAAGCCAAGGAGACAAAAATTTGAACAGAGGAGAAGATGAAATGTAGCAGGAAGACTCAAACAACAGCTTCAAATGAGTGAGGGATTATTTTAATTGAAAATGCACACACATTTACCAAGAACAGCTTTGCAACAATGCTTTCATCAAGTACTGCTGTATGCTAAAAAGTTTAATTGTCAGAAAAGTAAGTTCTTTGCGCAGTCAGAATAAGAAAATTACCTTCTTACCCAAAAAAGAATTAAAAACATTTCCTAAGTCCAGCTGTATACATATTTTTCAGGTTCATCCATGGTCACCAAAGGACATCCCAACAAGTGAAAGAGAAGTATGAAATGAACCCAAGAAAAGAAAAGCTGCCGTACAAGTTTGGATTATTGGTGTTCCTCAACACAGTGAAAAACAAAAGTGACAATTTGCATCATGCAAATGAAATGGTATGTTTAATCCAAGCACATATTCAAACAGTGTGGCTGTGAATATTACTTTTTTTCAGATGCCTATAGAAAGGGACATCAGTTGGACAGATCATGCAAAAGTGAAAGAGCCTTTAACATCAATGCAACTCACTTATCATCTAAAGCAGACTGGATTAAAAAGTGAGATCCACATGGAATCTATGAAAAATCACAACAGAATCATCAGGATTTTCTTTTCAGGAATGCAACACCTACTGGAAGAGAACAATGAACAGAAGACAGAAATAAAGCACCTTAGAAAGAACACTACTGGCAAGCAAGTCTACAGTGGGTAAGTGCATCAAAGATCTTTCATGATGAAAAACAAAATGAAAATATTGAGTGATTAGTTTAGATCTGTTTTTTATTAGGCACAATAAACTTGTGAAACTGAGGAATAAAAATCTTATTTTATTCTCATCAGGTGAATGCCTTAAACTATGTGGATCACCAGCAATAGCACTTTCCAGCTGTGGTCATTTGACACTCTGAAAAAGTTGTTGGGAGGACTATTCTCTACACAACAAGATCATCAAGGAAGACATTGCTTTTCTGATGTGCCCATTGCTAACATGTCAGTATCTTGGCAAATTGCTAGAAGACTACTGGTTTGTTTCTTGAGAGAGGTTTGAAGGAAAAAAGATTTGAAAGAGATTTATTGCAATGATAAATATGAATTGCCTGAAATATTTTTGGAATTGTTATTTCCTTCATCATTCAAGAAGAAATTTGGATGTATAATCACCACTTAAGAGGAGCAATGACATCCACAAGTAAAGAGATTTATTGCAATGATAAATATGAATTGCCTGAAATATTTTTGGAATTGTTATTTCCTTCATCATTCAAGAAGAAATTTGGATGTATAATCACCACTTAAGAGCAGCAATGACATCCACAAGTCAACAACAGTCCTTCACTGTAATTTTATACATCTCAGGAAAGTGCTACACAGATTTTAGAAAGGAGCTGGAGGCACTCAACATATTAACATTAAGGATAGCAGAACATATTCCAAAGAGAATCATACTAATTTTAATCCCCCAGCATCAAGTTGTACTTATGAATTAAGATGAACATGGATATCAAATTGGAGAGACTTTTCATAATTTGAAAATGGAAACAGATGTTGCAGTTATACTCACATTTCTTGAGGAAAGGAGCTTGACTTGATAAACTTTGTACCACAGAAAAATTCAGAAGTTGGGAAACATAAAGCACTGGATTACAATGAAAGGCTGAATGTTTGTAAGGAAAAAAAACAGATGACAATCCATCTCAACAGTTGTTTCTCTGACCTATCATTCTCTAACATAAACATTCCAATGAAAAAAAAACAAGCCGCACATGTACTGCAATGAATTTTCATCATTGCATGCACTTAATTCTTGCTCCCAGAATTGGCATGTGAACTTCTCCCCTTTGATGAGATGATGATGAGTTGCTCCTTCTCCTCACTCAATCTGGATCTGAAGATTGAGTTCTTTGGCAATTACATGAATCAAATCGGGAGATTAGGGATAAAACATACCAACCTTGATTACCTCCAATGCTACCAGGAGAACTGCACGGAATGAAGCCAGTATCCACTTCTTTGCAAGACTTGAATCCCTTAGCACTCAATGTTGTTGACCTATCCTTGGGAAGAAGAGGTTACAATTGATGAAAACAACTCATGAGTTTCAACTTATTACAGGACTATGTCCCCATGTACGTATTCATTGTCAGAGCCCTGCCAGGAATCTATTGTATACTCAGAGTCCAACAACATTTGCACAAGGATACCATGGACATGAGTTTCTTCATTTAGCTTTCACACAGCTTGCAATAACTTCATGATGAAAGAACTTATAATTCACATTAACAGAAGGAAATTCATTCCCATCTGCTTCTTGGAAGATGAACACGATTGACTTTGATATTGGTTCTGTTTTTAGCTTTCAGTTTCATGCCAATGTTGTAGGTTACTGAGTCTGCACAGATCCAACTTTGAGCATTTCAGATTCAGGTGAATCCCAGAAAGGCACTAAGTGTAACTTCAAATTGTATCAGGGTCTATGAAAAACAAAAACAAGGGTTACCAAGGAGGGCAGAGAAACAACAAGGAGCAACAATAAAAGGCCAAAGACCTCATACACGAGCGTGACCCACCTTGGATTCCTACCACCAATGAGAAGTAGAATTATTTCATATGAACAGTTTCACAACACCAACAGTCACAAACACTAACTCTTGAGTCTTCTCGATTTGTTGGGATACCGTCTCCTGTCCTTGTTGAGCATCAGGCTGCATCCAGGGATCCTAGAAAAGTAGAATTTCCCAGCAGATGGCACCTCTTAGCTGGGGAGAGTGAGCAGAATTGATGGTAGCCGCCATGTGTGTTAAGCATACCTTCAGTTCCCTGTAGCTTCTTGCCGGGAAGACTGGGTGCAGGTGTGTACATTATTTCAGGAGCCTTCTGATTGGTGGGGGGTGGGGCGCGAGCACCGGGAGGTGTGCCAGCAGATCCTGAGCCAGCAGATCTTTGAGGGTGCCCGTAGACGCAGGAATGGCACAGTTGTAAAATGTGACTTAAGGTATTTTATTTTCCTTTTGTACCCATAACTATCCTGTGAGGCAGTGGTGAAATTTGTGGAACAACCTGGGTGTTCACCAATTGCTGTTGATGGCAAAGCGATTAATTCTGCAAAAAATGAGTTGTACAAGGACAGAACTGGCCTGGAAAAATTGGCAAACACCCAGGGAGAAAATGCCGGACATTTCAGCAAAAGGAAATTCATTGTGGATCAGTGCGGCAATGAGACAGCCCGGAATAACGTGTGAAAATTAATTCAATTCCTGTCTCATGAAGTTAGGGTGTTCTTGTTTGATAAAAATTTTGAACTGAATGTACACGTTTTGGCAGCTGAATTTTTACCAAACAAGCACTGAAGTTTTACTGATCAGCAGGCTTTCCAAGTGCCCGGTGAGCATGAAAATGTCCGTTTTGGATCTGATTTTCATCCAAAGCAACTAATCCCAGAATCTTGCCAAAAATGGACAAGTTGCTTTGGATGAAAATTGTACAACATGTCCAATTCTGATCCAAAAGTCATCCAAAAGTGGTTGTCTTCTGGATGACTTTTGGATCAAAAATGGACCAGTTCCCTCCAAAATATATATATTTTTTAAATCAACATAATATTGGAATAAAAGTTTTCCAGCCTGATATTCATAGTGTCAGCTTCTCTGTCTCTACCAATAACATTTTATACAAGCTGAATTCATTTGCATCTAATTAATGGTGAAGTATATTATTCCTACTATCAACTTAACAATCTTAATTTAGAGATTTATATATCTAGCATGCTATTTACACCCGTATATAATGTACCCTATATATATCTATCAAGTGATCTATTTAAAGAATATCTTATTTCTCCCAGGGATTGAACCAGGGAACTCCTGCATGAGTGTCTGGCCCATTAGCCATACAGCCACAGACCCCTTCACGTATTCTTGTTTTGTTTATGTGGATTTAGCTTGTGGAGACAAGTCACAAGCTAAATCCACATGTTCCCCAAACTTGTCCACCAATTTTGGATAAACTGCAGACAAGTTTGGAGAACTTATCCACCAGTTCTCCTAAATTTGCGGACAATTTTGGAGAACATGTCCGCAAGAGAACTGTACTCTGGTGGACAAGTTCTACAAACTTGTCCGCCAGAGAAAAAAATTGTACTTTGGCAGACAAGTTCTCCAAAATGTGTCTGCCAAAGCACAGTTTTTTGGAAAAGTTCTCCAAAAAATGTCGGTAGAACCCATTGGGATGAGTTCCGGACATTTTTTGGAGATTTTTGTTCTCACTGGGTGCTGTGAAATGCATTACTGTGCATGAAGTACTGTACTTTGAATCCTGTTGATGATGCGTGAAGTTTGGACTTGTGGCAGCCCAGTTCCAATACAAAAAAGTTTGTGTTATGGGATTTTCTCTTTGTGGTACGGAACCAAATGAGGGCTCGTAATGTGTTGAAATTGATCAGACATTCCTGTAATAAAATTCCAGACACTCGAGAACACTGATTTATGCTGAAAACTGTATTGTAAGCATATTTTAATGTATTTATGACTATTGCTATGTATGACTACATGTAAGGCGTGTATATACAGTACATATATCAAGTGCTAAAATTTGGAATGTTATAAGTACTGTACTGTATGTAATTTTGAATTGCTGTACATTCAAAGTCTCTAAAGTGTAACAAAAATAGTTTGTACTTAACTTTACATAAACAGTATCCTGGTACAACAGCATCAGCATACGTTTTCATTCCCAAGTTTTCTTTGTCGTTTTTGTGGTGTATAGATGGACATGTGTTGATCACTTTGAATCATATGGGTTGATATATGTATACCATATTTACTGTAGTACCACATGGATTTTTTACGCCTGAGGTGAGAATTTGGCCCACATGGATGGTGCTAATCTATCTGGGATTTTTTTGTAAATGCAATATTAATCACGTTGTTTGAACAATGCTGTCCTGGTTGATCTTGTAAAAAGAATTGCAGACCTGCGCTTCTCTTGATTCGTAGTGTGGCATATATGCAGTATTTTTAATTTTGAATAAAACCACAGAACAGCTAAACTAGGCATTTTGGATGAAGTCCCAAAATTGTTTTCATGTTTTCTGTGCAGAATGTACAGCAATGTAAAATTACATACATTGGATGTTGACATATACTACAGTATGTATTGAAAAATTATTTTAAGAACAGGAAATGCATTTGACTGCTAGATTCACGGTTCGGATACTAGCTGCTCCTGTTTGTTTGATCATTCTTGATTGACAGCTGTCCAGACTGCAAAAATATAATTTTGCGAATGTCCCTGTATGAAAGATCTCACACGCAATTGATGCACCTTTGCAGTAAAAGCCCCAAAAGAAGTGCTCCTCATGTACTGTACTTATATGTAGGATGCTCAGATCTGCAGAATGCGTCAGGCATGTGGATCTTTGTGGATAAGCCCATGTGTGAAGATCAGATCAGTACAAATCTCGTTTTGTTGTTGCTGTGAAACTTCGACGGACGAAAATTGTGAAGTACTAAGTTCCAAATTCGTATGGAAGAAGTACAATATACGGCCCTAGCTACAGGAAGGGGATTCTGAATTTGTTTCTCACACCTTCTTTGCCCGGTTGTCACTATTCGTCATTTTGTTTTTCCATATTATACTCTTGATTCTGTTGTCTTCTTGAAAATATCCGCCGACAATGGTGTGCACCGAACTTTTCAGAATGTACGTGATGTTGCCTGCAGTGGCGTAGAGTACCTTCCCTAGCAGCTACAGAAACTTCTGAGATTGCTATTAGGGTATTTACTGGAGTACCAAGAGCCATGGAGTATGGCGCACACCCCCATTTTTCCACCAGAAATTACAGTAGTTCAAAAACCTATCCCTGTGTAAGAGGCGCACCCCAATTTTCCTTGTTGCTGAAAATAAAAAAAATGTGAAATCAAGTTGAAATGTGAAAATATTTTATGATTAAATTCATTTTTGCTCATCAATATTTTGTATTTTTGTCTTTTTCCATCTACAGAAGCAGTTAAAATTCATTTGCAATAAAGGACAGCTTCCTCAATTAGATGAGAATTACCCCCTTCCTTACTTGCTGTTGCATCTCTAAGGGATGAAACAAATTGAGCCATTATTCCCCATGCAGGAAGAGACTTGCAGCCACACTTTTCCTCTTCAATTTTTTTACTTGGTTGTGAGGGGCACTGGTTTTAGGAATTTTTCTCTGAAATGTTTCCCTAAGAACCATGTGCACCCCATTTTTCTGTCTCAATTTCCAGAAAAAAGGTGCGCATGTTACTGGAGTAAATATGGGTATTTATTCAACTGCAAAAAATGTTCCGCTTGCTGATGCAAATTCATGTGACGCCCCTTCTTCCTAAGTCCCCTAGTTAAACAAGCAAAAGAGATCCTATGAGACATTTTTGCTCATGAATTATCACGCTGACAACAAATTTTGATCATGTTCCCTGCTTATCTACGGAATAACTTAGTCTTCCTGATTAATTCAGCAGAAAACGCTGATTTGGAAACTTTCAAGGTTCCACTACGGAGGGACAGTAAGTGACTGTTGCTTTGACGTTATCCAATATTTTGTGCGATTTTGACGTAATCTATTTATATGGGGACAAAAATGCAGGTGAGTCTACCCCTAAGGAAAACGTTCATTCCGAAAATTTTAAATGTTATTCTTCTGAACCAAAGCGTCAGTTCATGATGTTCAAAAAAATCCTGCCTTTAACAAGGAAACAGGGGCACACATCTTCAAGGAATTGAGAGACCGGACACGTGGCAAACCTAGGAACAGGGAACACAGCTGAATCTGTCAGTTGGCGCCATGCTTATGGCTTTAGAAAAAAGGTCACCTGCTGGGGGCTGGAACCCACTTTATTTTTTCTTACAAAGGCGAAGTTGTTTCTAAGAATTGCCTCCAGAAATTTAAATGATTTCCTGTCGTTTCTTGACATCCCCAATAAAATGCTCCGCAGGAGGAAACAGCTTCAATAAAATTCATGTTTGCGTGGACTGATGTAACTTGAGAAAAAATTCCATTCGCGAAAATCATTTTGTTTCGAAATATCAATTGCGGCGTGCTGTTCCCATCAATTCACTTTGCACGTTGATTAACCTGATCTTAAAATTGAGGATTCCTGACTCGAATGCAATAGCCACCATCAGATGATTTCTTTTAATTTTTGAGCGACTTTCCGCAGAAGATAGCATAAAAATCAGTGTACTATAGACGCGAGGCTCACAAATTTTGCAAAGAAATGCTCACCGATTGCGCTGCATGGAACGGATCAAACACTCGAACTTCGACCAGAGCAGAGAATTATGAAGAAAGATTTGAACCCTGTTAGTGCTAGTAATCGACGCATAGACAAAACAAATTTTTGGTGAACTCCTCAAACGTGGTTCATTCTTCCCTTGGCCTTTTTTCGGAAGAGGGTGCGCGTGACCAATTCACGAATGCAGTCAAGGCCAATTGTAGAGAAAGTTTTTCTGCAACGCATGATCACTATGCAGGAACTTCTTCTCAGCAGCAATCTGTGTGATCACGTATTCACGTTAATATACCCAGAGAAACTGAAATGCTTCCCATTAAGCAGTTGAAAGTTATCAAGAGAAAACGGAAAGCATCAGCCACGGTAATACTGTATTATGGATGATCCGGATGTAATTACGCGTGACAATGACCTTCTGTGCCTCTGCTTGGACGGACACTAGAATTCAGGAAGTTTACTGAGCACAGGAATGGGAACAGTTCATACTATACTTCAAATTTCGGTTAATTAATGTAAGCTGAATCAACGGCAACGGATGAGAGATGTCAGGCGGTCGTGCGGAACTTCCCTCCCACTCAACCCATTTCAACTTCCGCGTAACCGTCAGATGTCGTGAGAAATCCGGGTTGGAAAACTGCGACGTCCATCTTGCGCGCGAAGGTTGCCATAAATTGTGGGCCGCGCAGGGTTTGAAGGAACTCAATACTGCTTTTTGGGAAGCCTCGAGTCTAGCAACCCTGGGTTCAAGTGATCGTCCTCCGCGAAGTAGGCCTGCTGGAAGTTCTTGGTGATCCTGGTTGGGCAATGAGAAGGGTGGCAGAGTGCGCGGCATGGGGTTACGGCAGTGCCGGGGTTGGAGCAACGTTTTTTTCTGACTTCAAAGGTCTGACTTGTGTTCCAGTGATAGATACTGTTGGAGGTGGTGAGAACCGAATTTTCGTGGAAGTGAATTCTGTTCTTCTCCATCTATACCACTCTCAAAGTGATTTTTTTTAAAAATTGGATCCAGTTCAACGCGCGTCTCTAGACGAAATTCGATAAAGCGTGAGATTGATTCAAAGATTTCATTCGAACGTTCGGCGTGATGATCATACAGTACTGAAATACTGTTCCAGAAATCGGCCACCTCTGTCCGGCACATTTTAAAGTACTGTACACGTATTTTGAGTTGTCGCTTGCACGGTAAACTGATAACAGTAGTTCTTTTGTGGGACGCATTTCTAACAGTGTCGCTTGTCAATCTGTGAACGAATTCTTGACGGGAGAAAATGCATCAGTAGAACTAGAAACCACGCAAGACCCATTTCTGCGCTCGATCGTCGTCTTGTCGAATTCTAGCCCCTCGAGCGGATCAGGCCGTCATGTTTCTGTGAAGTGCGCATGGATGAGGGTATCGCTGTGTTTGCCTGCAAAACCTGCTTGTGTGTTTTCAGTGTGTGGAGTGATGATGGCACTGTGGATTCGCTGAGGAATGTCCAAATTTGTGGGAGGTTTCCAACTTGGTAGCCGCTTTGGGTGCACGAGGAAATCCCATGGGAGAAAAAATCCCGGGGCCCAAAATCTCCTGTGGCCAAAAATACAGTTGGCTTAAAATTCTCGCTAGGTCAAAAATCCCGTAGTTATGTAAATCACGAAACGTAAATTTTCATATTTGGAATACCTCCTTTGATAACTACAAAAGGCAATGGTACGTAAACAATTCTTAAATTATCAAATAAGTCATCTAAATGCAGTTTGATGGTGATATTTCATACTGTACAGTATATGATGAAGGGATTCTTTAAAATATTTGTAAAAATTTACCAAGTTTTCAACTGAAAAATTTCCACCCTATATGATGAAAGTTTATCACTTCAGAAGGCAAAGTTGAGCTGTGAAAATCATTGTAAAAGTACAAAGTTTGTATCAGAAACAATGAAGGGATGAAGGCAACATCTTTCTCAGGCTTCCGCTTTTTTCTCTTGAGAAAGATGAGGAAGTGAAGGTGAGGTTCTAGAATGAGACAGGTACTTCCTAATCCTCCCAAACCCTTGGAAGGAATTGAAACCCCCGCCCTTTGACAATTTCACCAGATTTTTCTTCCTTCTAGACAGGTAGATGGAAAACCCGACAGGTGGAAGGAGACAATGTTACAATTTTTTAGTTTTGGAGATTTCGTACCTACGGAATTTTTGGACCCTGCGAGATTTTAGACCTACCGGATTGTTGGCCTCAGGGGATTTCGGGGCCAAGGGATTTTTTCTCCCAGGGGATTTTATCATGGAGCCAACCCCACCAGGCGATGAGTGAGGAATACACCCGGGAATGGTGCAGTTGTAAAATATGTCTCAGGGTATTCCATGCTCCTTTTGTACCCATAACTATCCTGTGAGGTGGTGAAATACGTGGAACGACCCTGGTTTTCACCCATTGCTGTTGCCGGCGAAGCTATCAATTCTGCAAAAAACAAGTCGTCCAAGGACAACAGGCCTGGAAAAATAGGCAACGACCCCCGGAGAAAAACCCAGACGTTTTAGCAAATGCTAATTCGTCGCGGATTAGCGGGGGATCAGATAGCCGGGCGAAGGGTACCCGGTAAACCACGCTGGTTGAAAACCACGCAAGAACTGAACGTGTGAAAATAAATTCAATTCTCGCCTTGTGAAGTTAGGGTGTACTCGTTCGGTCGTTCCATAAGAATTTTGAACTGAATTTACAAGTTTCGTCAGCCGTATTTCTACCGACCACGCACGGAAGTTTTTACTGATCAGCAGGCTTTCCAAGTGCTGGGAGAGAAAAGATTTCGAATCCTCTTGACGATGCGTGGAGGCCCCATGTCCCACTGAGAGGAAAGAAGTTCGTTTTCTAGGATTCTTCCTTCGTGGTAAGGAACCGGAAAAGGTTCAATAATGTGTAGAAATTGATCAGACATTCCTATAATTAATTCAGCATACCGGTACCTTGATGTTATGGTTTTTCAAGGTTATTTTATATGATCTATTTGCGCGTACGGAAGTGATGGAGTTTGAAAGCCTCTGCGCAGTTCCTGTGTTTAACGCCCTGTCCGCGAATTGCCGTCTTGTCCAATTCCGGAATTGCGTTTGTTGCGAAGACCGACAGGCTGAAGAAGGTGCGATTGTTCAATATTGATATCCGTCGCGTATTCACGAGAGAATTTTCCCTGAAATTTCTGAACTACGTTAATTTTTCCACGACCCAACGACTGTACTGAATAGGTGTGAAGGAATGGAAGTACTGTACTGGTTCAGATTCCGTGAGAAATGAGGTGCTGTTGCATGTGAAGAGAATGGTGAAAATGCTGTTATAACGTCTTAGAATTAAAGTTCTGCAATTTCAGGAGTTTTCACAAAGTCTCATCGAAGACTTCGATAAGCTCAGTTACCCACGAGTATTTCTGGACATTCTTATTGTGCTCTCTAACCTGATGATGTGGAGAAGAGTTTTTAATCCGCAAATTCTGCTGCTTGTAGCTTTGAAGTGTCTGTCCGGCGTACGGCGAACAGTGATCGGTTTTCAGAGAGTCTTTCATTTGCTTGTCTTTTTTATTCGAATTGTGGTCGTTCACAACCATCGTGTTCTTCCTTCAAGGTACTACATTTGCTAGGGTGTGAATTACTCACTCCTGTGTAACCTGGTATTGAGAGATCCGTCTGCATGGTTGTGCGCAGTTCGGAAATACCCCGTGTGTCGTGAGAACATGAGGAACTGACGCTTCTTAATTTTTTTGGTTTCATCTGGTGATTCTGATCGTTCGTTGGCGATTATTTTTGCTTGGAAAAGCTGCAGCAAATCAGTCAAGTGTCCGTTTACTCTCTTTGAACTCATTAGGAATCAACTATCAGATTTCG